TATTTTGAAATCACAGACAATATTTGAGCATAGAAATTAGAATTAAATTATATTTATCATAATTATATTAATAATAATAATTCGATTAATCGATAGTTTAATTCTTATCATCAAATAATTTATCTAATATCTTTATATATATTCAAATTCAATTATAATTTTTCAATTTAAAATTTATATAATTTAATCATATATACGATCAGATATATATCATCTCATATTGAGAAAAAATCTACTCTCCAATATATTCATATAGATAATATATTTTATCAATATCGCAGAGATATAACTATACAAGAACATATAATTCTGACTTATTTGTATCTAAGTGCATATTTATGACATGAATAAATTATATATCTTTTTTCTTATCTAAGGAGGTGAAAATAAAATATTTTATTTTGAATGCCCCTACAACACGAAGCAAGCCAATAAAATATAATATATATCAGGCACGCTTCGAATCATCCCCCCTCAGCGCCGAAGCCAATCGCCATACCCATCTCCATACCACCCCGAGAATACCAGAAAACCCGGAAAATGAAAACCACAACGATAGAACCTGCAAGAAACGACGCTCCATTTATAGAAGCTAATCATCATATATATCTCCGCACCCCCCCGGAATACCAACAAAAACTCAGAAAGTAAAAACAACAACGGGGGAACCCCCAAGAAACGACCATTATCTCGAAGATGGGCGGGGCCACCCCTCCCCAGATAATTAAGAAATAATCCCGACCCCATACTACGAGTCCAACAGACAAAGAGAGAATCTAAATTACTAAAACCTTGAATATATTAATCTAAAATCTTAGAACCTTTCCCTTCGCAATACCCCTCCCAATAAAGAAAATATATATTATAATCTAGGGTTGCCCCCTCCCCCCCATATTCCCAAAAGAATAAGAAACGGGCTTAATAAAATTATTTATGTTACTAAATATTTTTTCTATCTTATCCATTCAGAAAGAGAAAATAATAATAATTTAATCCTCCTTCAAGACCAATAGAAATATAATATATCATGGATGGTTTTTGCACCTCTCCATGATGCACCCCCACAAAGTAATAAACATATCATGGGCATCAGAAAGCAATATTACGGTCGCCAAAATTCAACACCACACTTAATAATACAAAGACTTACAAACACTTATAGAGCCTTATAGGGACTTATCAAGCCTTGCCAAGACTTATTAGTGCTTAATAGAACTAAATAAACTTTAATGAGGCTTAATCGTTTGGGGGAGCGCATGCCTGCCACAGCTCAGGCCAAGGTTGTAGACACTACTTATTAGGCCTTAATAAGCTTTATTAGAGCATACTAAGCCGAATTAATTATACCCATCTACGGGGGCCCATTCTAGGGAGGCGCATAGTAGGCCCATGAATATAATTAATGAGATTCTTATAAATCCTCCCATATTTAATTAAAGCTCCAACTTTCGCCATAATTTCGGACCTATATTCCAACCCAATGGTCGAAGCGTTTCTAGTTCTTATTGAATTCATTCAATCAATATCAGAATAAGTATTTTTTTATGTAGTCCGTCTCCATCGTATATGTAGTATGCCGTAAATACAATTATATCAGAATCGAAGTTTCGCATAATTTGATGAGGTCTTTGATAGCGCTCAATATTGCCAATCAGTTTGCTGTACAGTGCTGTTCCTTGATCTCCCTTTGTCTTTGTAAGTATAGGTTGCGCACTTTTTCTTGGTGTCAAGGAACAAGTCAATGCAGTGGGTTCAGAAGTCCTGCGAGTCATAATGCACCTGCCATGAAGTGAAGTTGAAGCGAAAAACACTTCGTGAACTTTTCGCCTTCTCGAGGCAAAGGCCGTGAGGAGGCAAACCTCTTCTGGGTTCAGATAGTGCTCTTGGCACGAGACAGTGCTGTAATTTGCGGTCAAGCCACATGGAAAAGCGCTTACCGGAACAGAAGTCTCCTTGCAATTTGCTTTTGCGAAGTCCAATGGCGCAGATGCTATGCCAGATCTCCAGACTTACCACAGCTCTCCTGCTTTGCTTTGTCAGGCGGAACCTACGAGTATCATGCGGAGTGCACCTTGCTCGTGATGTCCCCCACCCCAACTGTGGCCTGAAGCAGTTCGTCGATCCGCTCCAGTGCCAGGCGGCCGCACGCCGCCATCACCTGCAAAACACTGGCACAATTTCGTCATAGACAACATTCAACGCCGTTCTGAGACGACCCTAGACAGTGCATGCGTGCGACAAATCCATCGACAATTATCCCTGTTCTATTGCTGAAACTTTTCTGCGACAGCTGCTGCGAGCTATTGCGAGGATGGCTGCTAAGGTCAGCGCGATGCACCCGACGATGTTTCGAACCATTCTGTAAATGGCACCGTCCAAGTTGACCTTGCAGCCATGCAAACCGGTTCAGCTCCCGTGATGACCGTCAGACCGTCACCTCAATCCGACACCGCCCAGGACCATCCTCAACCTGGCATAATCCCCAAATATTTCCGTCGACAGAAACTTGGGCACCATGTCGGCAGTGCCACATTTATGCCGTGGATGGTTCTAACGGTGCCTGACATCCTTTCGCAAGGCCGGAGTCTCGGGCAAGAGAAGCTATCAGCCACCTGTCCTGTACTTGTCCAGCTTTTTTGCCTGCGTAAAGTACCTGCGACCACAGGTGCTTCACCGCAGCTTCAAACCGTCAGCAGGCGATTAGCATCCAAGCACGTGCATGAAATAGCACAGCCGTGCAAAGGAGGAATATGATCTTGGCATCTGCAATTATCGTCGGATGCCGGGTCGTGCCATTCTGCCACTTTGAGCTCGTCCAGTTTTGCACAGCTGCCCCCGTGGAGGGCTTGAGCAAGGGTCACCTACAAGTGAAGGAATGCGAACTCATGTTGCCAGCCGCCCTGAATCATAAGCAGCCCTTCGCTGTAGCTGCCCGTCGGAACGTGCTGCGGGCCAGCACATCATCCGAAAGTATGCAGCAGTGGTATCCGAAGTGGATAGACGTGACTCCGAGCTTTACAACCCTGGTTGTGGTTCCAGCCATGGTAGCGACCGAAAGGCTTGGCCCACTCCAACTGAAACGGGCTTTGAAGCGGAATCGCGAGCGCACGCGAAGTCCTTCTCGCCGACAAGTTTTGAAGCAGCTTGCCGGAGGAGGTCACTGTCGAAAGTTCGTGCCTGGCGTTGCCGGCAGACGCCACAGGCAGGATTCTGTGGAAACGTGTCCGCCCTGCCCAGCCATGGGGTATCTGGTACCTGTAGAACCTGCAACGAGGAGGCATTCGTACCACTCTGCAGCCCACTTCCTCCGGCTACAAGCTGTGATTGATTAGGGAAAGCCTTTCCAGTGGATCTGCTGCATTGTATCCGTAGTGGAGGCGGTAGACCTGCAAGTGGCACTAGCATGCCTGCATGGGGGAAATATCATGGACAAGGGTGAGCACGTATGTTTTACCGCTGGCAGAGAAGGTGGCGTGGAAGTCGGGAGGGGCATCCTGGAAGTTCCTTGGTGTCAACAACCGACCGTCTCCAAATGACCGCAACCAGGGATAACACTTGCTGCAAAGGGTCCAAACCCGTATGTCTGACGGCAACTGGGTCAGGGATGGAAACGTCAAACTTCCCAGCTTGCGCATGCAACGCTGACAGAAACTGCCTCTGGCCTGCTCGTTTACCGCCTGCTCCCACGATGCCTGGCAGCCAAGTCTCGTGCGCCAGACGTCACGGAAGATAGATGTAGCTTTTGGCTGACGCTCTCTTGGAAAAGACATTCTCAAGACGAACAGCTCTCAGAGGGCATCATCAGTTGAAAGTTGAAACTCCTCTCATGGCTTCAGTCCGAAAGTCAAACATTTACACGCCCGCCCGCCTGCCAGTCATCTCGCCGTTCGGTCGCGATCCAGTCGGGGACGTCGAAGTGTGCTGCCTCCCAACAGTAGCCATCGGCAACCCAGCACATGCACGGCCCGTAAGTTGGCCTGCCCCTGTGCATGCACACCGGCATCCGTCCTGGAGCAGGCAGACATCTCAGGGTTCCACACGATCAAGGCCGAGTCCTGCTTGCTCCGCAGCTGAAGGTCTTTCGCCGCAGAAGGAGTGAGACAGCACCTTCTGCGCTGAAGACAATCGCTCATAAGCTGAACAACATGTTCCCTGAGCGATCAGCGGTCGACCATTCCTGCTACTGTCAGCGGCGATGCGTTTTTGACCTCTCGGGTGAACTTGACATACCTGACCAGATGCCACGAGCTTCCGGCAAGAGCCCAGCCCTGGCCCAGCCATTGTACTGACTTCCATCCTTACAAAAAAATACAAAAAGCCTGCCCCATTCTTCCGCTTGCAACCTGAGCGCTCCGCATATGCGGCCCGAAACCGAATCCGACGAAAGCCCGGAGAGACCAGCGAACGCCTGTCTTCACCATCTGCAGCCTGTACAAAGATCGCGGGGACGCATCTGACAAGGCAGCTTCGATGCTTTGCCTCGTCCACTCCGATTTTGTCAGTGGCAAGTTCCGGGATCTTTTGAGGCCTCGCCATTGGCTAAAAGGGGTTCAAAGACATCCAACAACCGCCGGAAAAATATTTTGGGCGAGCTGGCCAAGCACGCTTCTTCACCAAGCGAAGGAGGTCTCCGTACTGCCTGCGTTCGGCCGCCTGCCAAAACGCAAGAAACAACACACGTGTCTCTGTCTCTGATCCCTTAGCTTGACATCAGAAACACAGCGCAGTGTTGGATGGCCTCTGGGCTACGCTCGGCAGGCATCTTTGCGAAGGCCAGCCATGGTACCACCAACTTGGCACGCATGTAATGATTTGTTGACCATGTCCATGACAGGCAGCAACCCACAAAGACGCTGATACCCTTCAAGACCACACTCGAAACCTTCGCCATCCCATGCCATACATAACCACACTGGCAGCTCCAACATGCTCCAACCCATGCAGCTCTGCCCATGCTTTTCGCCGAGCAGCCACAACAGCGCTCAGCATGCAAGGTTGGCGCCGAGCATTTGTCTGTCAGGACGGAAGCAGCTGCAGGCTGAAATCGATCAACGAAACAGCCGTGGTCTGCTGGAGCTTATCGGGAGCTGTGCCTTACCAGCCTTCCACACTGGCAGTGTAAGCAAGGTCAGCAACCTCCACATTGCCCACTGGCATTGGCTGTTGTTGTCGCATTGCGAAAGTCTACCACTAGTACTGTGCCGACTCCGCTTGGAACTGGATACACTGACCTGAGCGATGCTAAGTGTATTGTTATTACCAGTCCAATTAATTGTTGGAATGCATGGTTGCAAACGCTGGCTGCCTGCATCTGCCTTTGGCAAGGCTGGACGAAGATGCAAGTTAACATGCGTTGTGGAGCAGATTTTAACTCCCAGTGGCGAGCTGAACCGTTGGGAGACACAAGCTACTTCTAGACCAGGCGTACCAGGGTTGACGAATCGAGCGTGACTCTTTTTCCACGCGCAGCATAGGTGCGGGTAACACTTCTCAGCTCCTGCTTCGACACTTCGAGGCTTTGTTGAGAATCAACAGGTATCGGCGCACTGCTTCTATGTACTAGTAGTGCCAGTAATTCCGGTGATCGTGCTTGTCACGTCACGGGGTTTACCACGGCCCAGCTGGGTGAACATCGTCGGCCTTCTAGCATGGATGTGGCTTCATCATTACATGGACCATATCTCACCAGTTTTGCCTGCCTCATCGATGCTTTGCCCAGCTGTCCTCAACCATGATTTGCCCACATTCATGGTGAGTTTCCCACGAAACTAGACGACGACGACGAAACCTCCGTAAGTCATACCCAAGCAGACAAATCAACAGCCAGTGCTTTACAAACAATGCTCTAAAAGCTTGCTAGGTCAGAACGAATGGGGTCTCGCCATCCACCCGAAATGCTGAAGTTGAGCTGGGCGATGCTCTCCCATAGTGTAGCGAACCTTCCCTCTTGGCAAGAGGCAGGTGGATTGGACTTGTTCAGCTGCTCTGCTGATTTACTGCGGCGGTCTGTGGCAATCTGGTACTGACAAGGCGGATTGCATTCTCCGCTCCAAGCTTGGCAGCCCACACTGCTGATGCCACGGCACGCCTTTTGCAATCATAGCCTGCAGGCCGTACCCTGAACGGACTTGGACTTACACTTCGCACACCCAGGGCCGTCGTAGCTACTTTCGTTTGCGGAGCATCTTCAGTCAAGATGCGCTTCTTCGATACGAGCTTAGACTGGCTGTGGCCTCGGGCCACAGTGCTGTCCGGGCTGTCACGAAGCTTTTTCGAGCTTGGCAGAGCTGGAAGTCCAAGCCCCAGCTCTCTACATTTTGGCAAGCTGGTCTTGCACAAAGAGACCCTGCCCCTGCCGACCACGTCGCTGCACATCCTCGGCCACGGGAAAAGCTCACCACAGATTAGCTGCACGAAACAACTTGGCCTCGACGGCATGGGTGCACCGGCTGGAGCCGGCACCATCGACACTGTACCGCGAAGCTGCCTTCAGGATGGTTGAGCTGGCTCGCTGTCCGTTCCAGCTAGTTGGGCTCCGGACCCTTGCTGGTTAGCTGCGGCATTGGCAAGGGCGACGCCAACAACCTACAGAGTGACGCTCTACTCTACCCAGCAGAGTCTGTCAGCCGGGCCGATGCAACGCAGCAAGCAACACAGAATCCAGATTTCGATGCCTTCTCAACGGACATTGCAGGCGACATGATCTGGTTCATGACAGGGTAGCAGTGTGTACCTCTAACCGGAGCAGCACATGATGACAACGGTCCCAGGTGAAACTGTAAGCTGATTGTGTGCAGCAAGATGCAAAGACACGACCCTTCTGTGCGGCCAGTCAGACGTAACAATCCCATGCGTAGCTGAACGAACCCATCCGGCACTGTCCACCCTCTGCTTGTCCTCTAGCCGAATGCGAAGATCGGACTCCAAAGACAAGGCCACACAGCAGCCAGAAGAATGCCAAAGACGTCAGAAGCGCGTATAGCATTTGTAATGGCGGAAGACGCTTCAAGTTTGGAGGCTCGAAATGGGACGGAACAGGTATATAAACAGCACACAGACACGTAAGGTGTGCCCTCGTGCATGCGCTCGAGAAGAACAAACTCTTCACCGTCAAGCTACCACCACAAAGCATTATGGTCCGGAAGCGAAGCGAACGCTGCGATAAAAAGCATGCTGTCCAAGCCATGTGCTGACTATGGCGGTTCAGCCTCGAAGGATTTTGCTGCAGCAGGAGTGTTTGACTTGCAGATTTGTGGTGTGTCAGTCCCGCACAATAATGAGTTCGATTAAACAGAAACGCACTCAGAGGCGCTGTACAAAAAGAGCCGAGGTGCTCGAATTCCTTGCAAAGGAGCCGCCGCTACAGGTAACCATATGCTTCGGCAGTAATTTGCATGCAACGTTGGACCTGATGCAGTGCTCTTAATTAAACGCAAAGAGCTACGTGTGCTTGCTGCGTCCTCAACTCGCGCGTCGACGACAACCTGCACGGCCGTTGCTGCCGAGGGTAGCAAGCCTTATGCATTCTGAGCCCTCTGAGCCTTGAGAGGAGAGCTGCTGACTGGGCCATGCAGATATGATGGCAAGTTGCCGCCAGGCTGCTTGCGGCCTTAGTTCTCATACACAGCATTGCAAAATTCCCGACAAAAAATGCTGCTGAATTGATATTATTCCTCCTGAGGTCTGTTCGCTGCTTGCGACGAACAGTTTGGATTTCGTGGCCACGCCACTGACTAAAGGGACGGGAGTGGCCCAGACTTATGGAGGCATGAGGTGAGGCAGCTCTTTTTGGAACAGTGGCTGTGGCATTAGCAACAAGGCTCTAGACCGATGCACTGCACTCACACGGAATGCGAGCGTCGCGGCCTGTCGCCGGTTTGGGAGCTCCCATCGGCTGGCAAGTGACTCGAGAGCTCGCCTGCCTCTCTGTTCACTGGCTCTGGCAAAGCATTGAGACTTGTGTCTGAGCTCACTAGATCCAGGGCAAACCTCATCATCTGATCCGTAGGAATGTCACTTTGCCGCCCTTCTGAAATCACGTTTCGAAGGACCTGCATCTTTGCGTGCCTCTGCGGATCGCTGGAGGGCTCTTCTGAGCCCTCCGACGTGTAGGAGCCGGGAGGGACTGGAGGGCCGAAGCCGCATGCCAAACCCATGTCTGGAATCGCACCAACCGCAATGCCGCTTTGGTCGCTTTCCTCGGATTCGCTCAAGCTGACCATATTCGCCAATCTTTGACGTATAGGCCCGAAGCCCCTTGTGACGGATGTGACAGGTTCGCTCGCGGTTTGCCACTCCCCGTGCAGCTCACGCTGCGGCCCGTGCGGCTCATCTTGGGCGTCGACTTCGGAGTCTCGTCCTGTAACTCCTCTCTCCTTCGTCCCTAAAACCGTAGACAGAATTTTGAGTTCCTCACGGAATCGCAGCATGGTTTCCCGGCGAGACCGAAGATTCAAGCTAAATACGTCATTGTCCTCGATATCCCCCTCACTGAGTGCATCTCGCTCTGGCATGTCGTTGCCAGCGGTGCGCAAGTCTGGCAGCGACTCTGGCTTCCGAAGAACTCTCGCAGGTGCCTGATGTGCCTGCATGCAGCGCGTAGCAAGCCGCTCTGGCATCAAACCCGATTGCCCAGGGCGTGGCCAACGCACGCCCACGACAGGGGACAACTCTCTCAGCGCATTCGCGATGGCAGCCGGGAACTGCTCGCCCAGGTCGTTGTCTTCCAAACTCAACTCGGCCAGAGGGAAGCGGCGGTTGTAGCCGTCGTACTCGTGCGCCAGCTCTCTTCGCAGTAATTGCAGCAAGGGTCGCAAATCATCTCGCCGCAGACACATGGACCTGCCCGAATCATTCCAGGCAGTTCAGAGGCAGCAGTCATTTTTGTCTGCATGGAACGCTCGAGAGGCAGAGCCCGGCCTAAGACGAACGGTTTTGATGAGCAGACCCGATCTCAAAGCTTGGCAAAGAACGCGAAGCAAATTCTCCCTTGTCAAGGGAACACGCTGGTCTCGCCGCCAGAATCCTCAGGTGTGAAAGAACATAAAGAAGCAAACTTAGCATGGCAGAACACACTTACAACGGGATCGACTGTGTTGTTGGAGTACAGTCATCGGCAGAAAAGCCCTCTAGTGTTTATTGCGCGAGATAAGACTCTCAATGAAGTCTCGTGCGAATTGCGAATGGCACCCAACAGTGGGTTGCCTGAAAGGTCCAGTACACTGAGCGGCACCACCTGCGTTTCTCTGCTCTAAAACTCAATGAGCTCGCGAATCAAGCTATCTGCTGCAAGACTGAGCGTACACCTGATCTTGCGCTCTCCAAGGCCTGCTGCTTTTGTTGGGCTTGCGCTCGAACGTGCAGCAGACGAGCCAGCAGTCGAAGGTCCTCGATCGTTTATTGCTGCCCTCTCTGCTTCGCAGCCCCCTCCATGCACTACAAATCGCTGGCCAAGCAGCTCGTAGGTGATTCTGTGCCAAAGATAGGTGCGAAAGCTTCGGGAGCCTAGTACCTTTGACCATCTTGCGATGTTGTCTTGGGTCTTCGTAGGGTCGTTCGGAGAAGTTGCATGCTGCAATGAACATATATCCATCGGTGTCTGATCTCCAGTATGACACTCACCTCAACACACTCTCTGTACCAATGCACGCTGTAACCGCTCTAGGCGAACTAATGCATGAATGTGGACATTCACAAACAAAACATGTCGAAGCATTACTGCACTGCAATGTTCGTGGGCGAGCACCTGCCTCAGCAATAACCACCAAACGCAATCGGGTCCACAACATGCCCATCACACCTGCCCTACACTAAAGTATTAAGTGACTAGTAGGTGGGTGGCTGACAGCTACAGTAGCTGGTGCTTACGTGACCTTGGGCCGACAACTTTAAAAGCGGTGAGAAGACAAAGGCCTATCGCTTTTGGCTCTTCCGGCCGCTGTGTTCACCGGTCCAACATGGTATTGCTGGTAGTACACGCGTCTGGACAAGCGCTCCTTTGAGTGTACAGGTATGGTTTAACAATGAAAACGATCAACGCTTCAAAGCGAGTGTGACATGACGCATTTGTGGGAGCCGCCAAACTGAGAAATCAGTTATGCCGTATGTTGGAAACCAGAAGGTCCCGATATAGGTGCTCCATGCGTGGCTTCCTCAATCCGTACTACGCATGCGGACCCGGATCCGGACATCATTGGAGGGCTAAAGCACAAGTTCATGTCCAAAAGCATGGTCAACGCCGGTTACAGATCAACCGTACGCTGATAGCCCATGCAACATGACAAAAGGAAAAAGAAGAATGAAACGGGATTGGATGCACATTTGTTTGCTTCGCAGCATCCCAGAAAATTATCCGGAACAGAACTTTGCACATGCAATGTTCGCATCAGTGGCTTTCATAACAGGGACACAGGTACAATCCGGCGGTTTCCAGCTCAGCACGCATCTCCGGGAACGGGTTTGGATTTCCTCATCCCGGTGGCCGGCTCGGGGCACGATAAGAGAATCATTCAAAAGTCGGTGCCCCTAGCGTTATTGCACTGATACCACAAACGGCAATGCATCCCGTACACAACAGCCTTCAGTTGGGCCCTTGGAGCCCAGCTTTTCCAAGGCAAGATTGTTGGAGAATCCCGAACGTACGAATCATCAAAACAAGGGGCTAACAACTGCAAGGATGTCGGAGTTCACCTGGTTTCCAGGCGTGTCATGGAGCCAACCATGTATCTGGCACGTTTTGCGACAACTAAAAACGCGGCTTGGCACCTACGGGGACCCTACTGGGCTCAATGCGGGGCCCGTCTTTTCCAAAGCTAGGGGTAGCCTACAGCTCAAGCCATACAGTGTTGGGATTGGGGAAACTCTGTGTACATTCGCAACCCCCGTCCAACGCCGAGGGTTTGCAAACGGGTAGGAATTCCTCCGCAGCATTCGCCGTGGCGGCGGTTGGCGACAGTGGAAAGAGATGGGCATCCGCGGAAGTTTTTTGGGAGTTTTTGGAAGATGTGCAGGGTGTAATTGTTGCCAACCAAAAAAAGTGAGGCCGGTCTTCGTGTCTCGTACCAATCACATGTTACCCCAGCAAGTGAGGCAAAGGTCCTCCGTGATGATATCAGCTGGCCGCACAGAGGCCAACTGTGCGCCTTGCGAGGGCATACTGCACTTCTCCGAAGTGTCCCTGCGGAACGGGTGGTAGGTGTGCTCCGGGTTGGGGTCGCGAGTCGCCTGCGCCTTGCGTGCGGGACGCCTACGTTGACGTTCTGATCATGAGGCTCCGGCTCGGGAGCTGGAGGTCGGAGGTCTCTGGGCGGCGGTGCCCGCACCGCTTTGCGAAAGAGGTCTTCCACAGCGACCGGGCGGGGAAATTGCAACTTTCTCCTCGGCTGGCTGCTCTTCCTGCTCTTTTTCCTTTTCGCCCTCGCCCTCTTCGGGCTTCCGGTTGGCGGTGTCCTTCTGCAGCACTCGGCTGCACCATCGCTGCGTCGGGTTCAGGACGAACCACATGATGGCGATCCACGCCAGGAGTCCCAGCAGCATGGTGGCCGGCCGGGCCCATTGGATCACGTCCTCCTCGCGGAGCTGACGCGTCACTCTCAGAATTTGGGCAACGTCGTGCTGGCGATTGCCATAGTGCATGTACGCCCATATCTCGGTCGGGGCCCCTTTGTTTCTCCGATGAGGTAGGCCACGACAATATCGACGGTGCGCCCGTTGGAGAGCTGTAATCTCAAGGAG